TTACAGGAGCAGAAAGCTTTCTCCCGCAGAACAGCTGGTAGTTTTGAACTGCTGACCTTGAGGTTAGCAGCCCGATTGGTAACCAGTACGCTACCAGAGCGCCAAAAGGCATAGCAGGAGACTAATTGCCAGACCAGAAGAATAAGCCACACAGGAATAGATTGGGTGGAATCTCTAGGAGAACATCAAGAGAGGTCAATGTGGTATGCTTGGACTCTGCTTCAGGAAATGCATTCTTCTTGAATATGGAGAGCCTAAAGAAACTAGGAGTGGTGGGAATGACAAAGAGGGATTGTATTCTGAAAGCAGGTTCTGGGAGAGAGCTAGGGACAGGTCCTAGAAGGAATTGAAAACCATCATGTCTTATTTCTTCTAAGATGTCTGGTGTCATAGGAAAGCAAGGTCCTGGGTTCTGAGCAATCATTGAACACACTACAGGGGTGGATGGGGAAACAATCATGTGATTGAGAGGGAGCAAAAATCATAATTGGGGCATAGCATCATGTATTCACGAGTCACTGGGTTAACGTGCTTGGCTGCTAACCAAAATTTTGGAGGTTTGAGTCTATCCTGAGGTACTTCAGAAGAAAGATTTGGTTGTCTACTTCTGAAAAATCAGCCATAGTAAAACCCTATAGAGCACTTTATGCTCTGAGGGTCGCTGTGAGTCAGGACTGACTCCACAGTACACAACCACCACCAACATGCATACAGGTTGCCATGAGTGCGGTTACTTCAACAGTAATGGGTTTCATCATGTATTAAATCTGGACTCTATGCAGAGAGGCTGTTCCCAAGATGGTCTTTCCTTGGACCAGACATGAAAATGTAAGAAGGCAATATTGCACAATGTGTAAAAGACTTTGGGTTCTGACAAAACTAGTTCTGGATCTAAGATCCACAGCTTTCTATCTGATTCTTAGTTTCCAAGCCTGATTTAAAAAAAAAAAAAAAAAAAAGTAAATAAAAGGGGATTTCAGAAAGTTTGTGGGGAAAAAGTTAGATGATAGTAGAATTTTTCCATGAACTCTTTGAGTGCCAACTTGTTATGACTCTTAGGCCTTTTTGTTGACTTTATTACCAAGTGCCATCAAGTCAGTTCTGACTCAGTAATCCTGTATAGGGTTTCCAAGACTGTAAATCTTTTTTTTTTTAATGTTTCATTGTGAGTTCTTTGATAGTTTACATGGGAGAACATTAGCTTTCCACTCATCCTATCGTATATCATTACATTTGCCATGGTTACAATCCCTTCATGCATCATCAACCAACCAAAGGGTATACCCTGCAAGCCTGCACCCTGGTT